AGACCAAAGACCAGAAGAGTTGTGGGATGACATCAAGAACATCATACATGAAGAAAGCAAAAAGTCATTGAAAAGACAAGAAAGAAGGAAAAGGTGAAAATGGATGTCAGAAGAGACACTGAAACTGAGGTGTAAGAGCTGAACAGAAAATTTCAAAGGTCAGCTCGAGAAGATTAAAGTCAAATATTAAAACAAAATGTACAAAGATCTGGAGTCAGAAAAAGGAGGAGCACGCTCAGCATTTCTCAAGCTGGGGGAACTGAAAAAAGATTCAACTCTTGACTTTAATTATTCAAGGATTCTCAATGCAAATTATTGAATGATACAGAAAGCATTAAAAGAAGATGGAAGGTGGACTTGAAAGCACCTAACAATATTTCACAGGACAAATCAGCTACAAAAGAACTCTTTAAAATGGTAAAAAGCAAAGATGCTCTTTGAAGACTAAGGTGTACCTGATTCAATCTGTGGAATTTTCAGTTACCTTATATGCATGTGAAAGTGGGACAATGAACTGAACTTGTGATTCAAGCTGACCTTGAGGTCCATGCATTATCCTTCAGTGCTACACCGGGACTCCAAAATATAATTTGGATATAATTATCCAAAATATAATGCCTTTGCATTATTATTTTTTTTAATTTGTTGTGAATTGAGTAAAGGTTTACAAAGGAGTTCATCATTTTATATTCCATATATCACACACTTCATTTCAATGATTACAATCCTTTCTATGCTAACAATATCTACCTCTACTCTGATTTGCAATATGTACATCATGAATGCCCTTTAGATGTGGGAATGGAGAAACTGCATCTCACATACTTCAGGCATGGTATCAGGAGGGACCAGAATTCCGAAAAATACATCATGCTTGATAAAGAAGATGGACAGAGAAAAAAGGAAGCCCTTCAACAACATGGATTGACACAGTGGCTACAAAATGGGTTCAATCATAACAATGTTTGTAAAGATAGCCCAGGACTGTTGTACATATGATCTCTCTTAAGTTGGAACTTACTCAAAAGTACCCAATAAGAACAAAAGTGTTTGTAGGTTACTGTCATAATAATTTCAGCTTGTATTATTTCTGATGGTTAAATATACTGAAGATTCTGTTTATTGACTGTTACTTTTTGAAATTTGACTAAAGGTATTCTATTAAAAAAAGAAAAGGAAAACATGGAAGGAATACAGAGAGTCACTGTACCAAATATTCAACCATTTCAAGAGGTAGCATATGATTAAGAGCCAATGATACGAAGGAAGAAGTCCAAGCTGCATTGAAGGAATTGGCAAAGAACAAGGCACGAGGAATTGGTGGAATCAAAATTGAAGTCTTTCAAGAAAATGAGACTGTAGAGGAGACACTCACTCATCTCAGCCAAGAAGTTTGGAAGACAACTATCTCGCCAAGTGATTGGGAGATTTCCATATTTATGTCCAATTCAAAGAGAGATGACCCAACAGAATGCGGACATCATCTGACAATATCTTTGATATCCCATGAGAGTAAGGTTTTACTAAAGGTAATACAGAAATAGCTGCATGAATACATTGACAGAGAACTTCCAGAGGTTCAAGCAGAGTTCAGAAGAGGCCATGGGATATGAGAGATATCATTGCTGATGTTCGATGGATCTTGGCTGAAAGCAGAGAATATCAGAAAGATGTTTGCCTGTACTTTATTAACTACACAAAAGCTTTTTGATTGTGTGGATCATGACAAGCTATGGACAGCATTTGTGCTCATGAGGAATCTGTTCATGAAACAAGAGGCAGTTGTTTGAACAGAACATGTGAACACTGAATGGTTTAAACTTAAGAAAGGTGTGTGACAGGGTTATATTCCTTCACCATGCTTATTCAACCTGTACGTTGAGCAAATAATCCGAGAAACTGGGTTATATGAAGAAAAGC